ACCGTTCATAGTGTTTCGCAGGATGGCCGGCCGCGTGGGCCGACATGGACCGCGCAGTCGTGTAACTGCTTGAGACTTGCCATTGTATGTCTTGTCCGTGGCATGAAGACAGCCTCTTGGCAACACCAACCCGACGGCGTTGGTGAGTCATCGCGTCTGAAGCATCAGTGGAGGCTCAGCTGGCAAGCGTCAGTGGACATCACATTGCACCGCATCACATCACCCTGCGCTGGCAGCGATCGCAAAAACCTGTTGATAGCAGGGGAAACCCTCACGTCCCTCATGGCAGGAAGGGCGTGACTTTGCAGGGTGTCTCGCCCAGGCCCACGTGCCGTCCCCGCGCCACAGGCGGCAGATGCAGGGGCGCTGAGGCCATGGCCGGGCAGGCGCAGCGTGAAAGCGCAAGCTGGAAGATGGATTGAACTTGACGGTCCTTCAAGGCTGGGAGGAACAGCGGGACGTGACATGATGATTGGTGGGGCAAGCTTGAGAAATGCTTCGAGTGATAGCAGAACATCAAGCAAGACCTAAGGAAAACAACTGCGCGCGGAACAAGCAAGCCTCGCCTGCGCACGACACCAGCCACTGGGGCCGCGCCGGCCGACCGCAGGGCTCACGTGCACCCAGCCGGTCCCTTGGATTTCGAGCGGCTCTGGCGCGTCCTTGGGGCCGTCCCCGCGCAGACTGACTCTGCAAGCTGGGGACCAGAGAGTAGCTAGCTCCTACGGCGTGTGCAGGTCAGCCACGCGCACACATAGAGGGACGTTTGGCATCGGGGGGTTCACCCTTCGCCCCGGTCCCGCCCACCACGCGCCCACGTGTTGCTGGCCGCGGCCTTGGGGCTTTGACGGCCGTCTCTTGATGAGTCTGGCAGCTGCGGACATAGTACAGAAGCAATTGTCAACTTTTCAAGAGTAGAAATAGTCGAAAAAGGTTTTAAAATACATGAGACCGTTTTGCTTTGTCACGATCGTATATTGCAGGCCAGCTAGACTCCTCCCGCCACTGTGACCAACCGGTATGAAACAACAACAGGGGTTGAATACAACTACAGCAGCCGCCCGGTGCTCACGGCAGCTAGCTCAACACGAAAGCAAGCCAAAATAAAGCTGCAGACATACGAACGGTGTAATTGCAAGTTTTGTGGACCCAAGTCGGTCACCCAATTTTGCAGGTGTGCCCGTTACATATCATCGTGACTATTTGGTGCCCCCCCTCCGTACGCGCCCCCTTCACCAACCCGTTAAATGGCTCAAATGGCAAGCAGTCTCCTCAGGTCAGCGCTGACATTACAGCACCACGGAATTTTAAGGAATGGCTCTTCTCATGACCAGCATGACTCAAGTCCCTAAAGCTGCAAGCTTGTGATGTTGAATTTGTCGCCGCTCTAGCCGCCTCTTGCGAGCGGCCGCTGCGCACCGTTGACGCCACAAGCGCGCCCGAGCTGCCTGCCGCCGCGACAGGACGCGCCTCCGGCCGGCGCCGACCGCGCGCCGCCAGCCGCAGGAAGCCCCTGCCGTCGCTGCGCGCATGGCGGCGCGAACGGCGTCCCAGCGCAGGCGGCCGCCGCCGTGCGCGAAACGCGCGCGTGCGCCCGTGCTTGGGCGGTAGCGCCATCGCCAAAACGCCCACGCGATCACCCGCAGCTGCCACGCCCTCAGCAGCCCGCAGTGGCCCTGCGGCCCGCGGCCCACGTGAGCTGGCCCACGCCTCGGCGGCAGCAGTGCGCCCGCAGCATCTGCAAACGCGTCCATCCACTGCTGCGATGGCATGGTCATCCTGAGCCACCGCCAGTCCTCCCGTCTGTTCGCCTGCTGTAACCCCGAATCATTGGCAGCAGGCATCTCGTCCTCCTCGCGCTGCTGCTGCTCCCGCTGCTCTTGCT